GAAGCAGGGTTTTTGGGGGCCCCCATGAGTACATTTTTGGGGGAGTTGGGACAGGAGCTAAAGATGGGAGCTGTTGTGTTGAGGAGTTGTAAGTTCTGGCAGAGAGCCCATGCATGCTTCTTGCTTACTATGTATAGAGTGTAGTCTGTGAGTGGGGCTGCTCTTCTAAAGAGCTGATTATGAAGGGAAGGAGGAATGTCTATGCCTACACTTCCCTGCTCATGCCCACTCCAGAGCCCCTGGACTCTGCAGTCGAGTAACACTTGGCTGTTTTATCACTCCCGGTTATGGACTGTGGCTGTCTGAAGATCTCTGAGGCTCCTGGCTGGGGTCTGCATGTCAAGCTCTGGCATGGTTCTGGACACTGCAGGCCAATAGGATGGCTGCCTGCTCTTCCTAGAGATAATGAGTTGGGTGAATATCCCAAGTTTATGGCTGTAGATAGTCAGGAATCCTCTTCAGACCTGTCTTCTCATCTTTATGTCATGATGACAAGTCCACCCACGACTCAAGTCTCACAGAGAATACAGTGTACTTGCCTCAAAATCCCCAGCCCTAAGCTCTAACCCAGTGCCAGGCCCATCCTAAAATATCTTTCCTCTGCATGAAATACCACTATTGAGCCAAAGCTCAGCATCTCCCAGGTCCCCAACACCTCCGCCCCAGCTACACCATTGTTTCCCTTACATACCCACGTCAAGTGTTAACTCCACTTGAACTTGACTCTTTCTTTGTAGCCTGTTGTCCTGTCTTGCCTTCTTTAAAGTGTCCTTTGAATTTGTTCCTTCTTCTCTATTCCCATTCCCTTGCTCAATATATATGTATAAGCATTTATATGGACTGAACGTTGGTGTCCTCCCACCCCTCAGTGTTGACATCCTAACCCCTAATGTGATGATGGTGGGGCCTTTTGGAGGCTATTAGATGAGAGCCCCATGATGGAATTAGTGTCTTCATAAGAGGAAGAGACAAAAGATATCTTCCCATCATGGGTGTGATAGCTCCAAGTTACCTGCAGACAAGGAAAGGGCCCCTAGTGGGAGCTGGATGAGCTAGAACTGTGGCCCTCCACTCCCCAGCCACCAGCATGTGTCTAGCTAAAGCCCTGCTCCCTGTCGGTGTGCTCTCCGATTGCCAGAGCCAAGGCAGCTTCCCAACCTGCTTATCTACTTCCTGCCTCATCCCTAGTGCAGGATACTAGCTTCTTTCATGGCACTTGTTACAGACGGTGACACTTGTTAGTACTCAGTTGCTTGGTGTTCACCTTTATAAACCAGATACTCTGCTCCATGAAGCCAAGGCTGAAGATCACATCTGGCATGTGGTTGGTAACTGCTGAACGACTGAAATGCTAGGCTGGCGAGATAGGCCAGCTAAAATTAGATGGCTGGCTTTCAATAAAGGCCTCCCTGTTTTCTGCTCAGTTCTTCTTGTTGAATGAATTATGCTTTGGCCAGAGTCACCTTTTACAAACATGAATTTCATCCTACCCAGTCCTTCCTCATCAGTGTTTACAGGGTCCCAGCACCCTGTTTGGAGACTTATGGGAAATGCAGTAAAGTTCAGCTCACTCCAGCAGTGAGAGGTACCATGGGCCTTCTCATTAATAGTAATTCACTTAATTGTAAGTTGTGGGTTTGTTTCAAAAGAAACCCTCAAACCCATGAGCAGTGCAGGAAATGAGTGAGTCAGGCTTCTCAGTATCTGGTGTCCTATCGGAGGGGGTGATAGCATCGGTACCCTACCGGCTGCCTGGACATGCCCCAGGCAGGCAACAGCCCAAGCTCCCTTCTCTTCCCACGAGGGACTCTTGAGAATTTTCACCCTGTGAGGCAGGTGTTGTGTGGGCTCTGAGGGTGGCATCCAGCCTCTGAGTGTTCTGTAGGCTCTGTGTGTGTGACCTGACCTCTCAGAGGGCTGAAAGTTTTGCCATTGGGTATATGGGGAGGGGATAGAGGTATTGGGGGGGGGGAGAGCAAGGCAATTTCTCGACTATAGTTGTTTACAAATTTGGGAAAACACAGTTGACAGAATTTCCTCCTCTGTCAGTGTGAGCCCATTTCCCCTCTCGCTTTGCTAAGAGGAAGTTCCGTTAGCTCACAGAAACCCAGAACCACACATTCCTCAGCCTGGAAAAGCCCTTGAAGGAGGTGCTCAGCTGAAGATCAATTCGGCCTTCTGTTGGGGACTTTAATTTGAATTCCAGAGAAGCCTGAATGAAGTATTCTATTAGCACTGCCTGGAAGAGTCCTCTAGGCTCTCCACAAGCGATCTTCATTGAGGAACCAATGAACTCTCACTCCTTCTATCTACAGGTCTAGGCCTGGGACACTCACAGCCCATCTCCCTCCATTCTGTCCTGCAGGCCTGCTTCTCATTTTCTCTCCCAACCCAACTGAGCCTCCTGCTTTTGACAATGATAATTTCTCTTTTCTTTTCTCCGTCCATTGCTCAGGCTCCATCCCACCTGCCTCAGGGACTTTTTCCATGGGGAAGAAGCCATCCCCAACACCATTTCCAAGAAAGAATGGTCACTGTACTTCTGTTTTCAGTCTCAGCCAGAAGGTCCCCAGGGTGGAAGTATGCCCATGTCACACGCACACAGTGTGGTGCTGTTTAAGTTCTCTGCAGGGGAGGGGACTGGTAAATGGGGAAGGCACATGGGAGATAACTGGGAAGGGACAAGGTATCCCGGTGATCTCCTCAGACACATAGACACCTAGGACTCAGGGCCAGGGCCTAGATTTGCTGCATCTATACGGCTGAGTTCACTGAGATGTGCCAACCCACACACTGATTGTTGTGGAAAAAGACATTAGAACAGAACTTGGGAGGCTCCCAGCCTATGGGAACCACCAGGCGTGTCTTCAGGGTAAGGTAAGCAGGTAGAGTCTGCAGGTCTGGCTCACTCACTCCTGGGAGGGCCTTGTGAGTTCCAAACATTGGGGTACACCTTCTACCATTTAGTCTTCTGAAAGAACACCCCAGGCACCTCTCTTTCATTTTCACCTGTTTCTAAGAAAAACAGTCTATTTCTTTTCCTGGCCCTAACGGCCCTTGACAGCTGTTTACACATGGAATGCCAGATGTGGGGCACCACAGTCAGCTATTGTCATCTGTGATCTCATTTCAACCTCATGACATCACCATAACAACTGTCACTTTCATGTCACCTTTGGGAAATCAGAAACTGTGAGAGAATATGTGCCTTTCCCAAAGTCACAGTTAATGTTGAAACTCAGTCTGTCGGTGTGGGCCCAAGTCCTCAGATGTATTTCCTTAAAGCACATCTCGTTTATAACCATCACCAATTATCCATAGTTACCATGAGAACTCTGATTGCTTTCACAAAATACCTATTTATTGGAATGAAAACACACACCACTCACTCGACATCCGGGTGTGGGGGTGTGGGGGGCTCCATGTCATCTTTTCAGCAGGACTCAAGTTTTACATACAGACAGGAAAACTGAGGCTCAAAGAGGAAATGTGACTTGCCCAAGGTCACACAGCTAGAAACAGTGCAGTCAAAACTAGACCTCCTGGGAGACCCTGAGCCCTGCACCTGTGCTATGCTGCCTCTTCAATAAATAAGTGAGCAAAATAAATAAATAAAGGTTTCAAGGCAATCTCAAGGAGTCCTCCCAACTTCAGAAGGATTTCTGGTACCAGACTGGCATCACAACCTTCTTGGCAGTGTGGCAAGCTCATGGCTGGCTCTTCTGGGTCACACAGTCTGTTTTTGGAAAGCTTCGGAGAAACTTTCAGGGGATAGGCACTGTGAGGGGGTCAGCAGCCTTGTCCTTTCTTCCAGCATCCTTGCTTGGGGGCTGCACAAACTGCCTTTGTTTAAAGACAGGTCTCAAATGCAATATAGGGAAGCAGGGACCAGCTCTAAGCCCCAGTGACTAGCAGCTATCTTGGCACAAGGCCCTAGGCTCCGGCAAGATCTCTGAGACCTTGGCATGAGGCAGAAGCTACCTGTGGGCAGATGGCTTCCACAGTCTACCTCCTTCCAGCCCAGAGGTTGGCAAGACCAAAAATATCACCTTTGGGGCCAACTTGGCTAACATCCAGCATGAGGGACTTCCTAACGATTCATTCTTTATTTTAGTCCCCTGAAGAAGCTGCTGATCCAAGGTCACACAGCTGAACACAGAGATACCAATCAGGCACCCTGTTCTCTGCATCTGTAGTTAGAAATTAGCAGCAAATGCAGATATATAAGCCCTAAGGCTGGGCTAGCATCTATGCCCAAAGACCACCTAAAGGGCAGTGTGCTAACACAGATAATCATAATTTGTCTGACAGGTCAGCACAATGGTAAGCAGCAAGGAGCAATGGCTTGGCCACTGCAGATAACCCAGGGGGACACAGATGTTTGTCAAAAAGACGGAGATGTCTGCAGATGGATAGTTGAGACACCCCACAGGAGGTGCAGATTCTGTGTCTCAGTCCCTTTTGCCCCATGGTTCTGAATTAGCTGACTGATTATTCAGGGTAGCATGGACCTCAAGATCTCCCAGTGACAAGTACCCTGTCCAGTGCCTCTCTACATGACAACATTAAACCTGCATCCTGCTCTCTCCTTTCTCTCTTGGGCCCTCTCTGTACCCTGCAGGAGGTACTCCCACGCCTACATAGACATCCAGGCTGCTCTGACTTCAACCTGGCAATCTTAGCACACCCAGAAAACCCTGGGGTTCCTCCCAAACACAGGTCCTTCCAGTACAGGACCCAGCCCTGAGGAGTGAGGAGATCTCTGTGTACCTTGCTCAACTCTGTTGGAGTCTGCCGGGCTCCTCTCAACAGAACCAGACACAACCTCCCATGTACCAGACGCTTGCCCAGTATGATGGCCCTTTCCTGCCCTCTGGGACCTGGCTAGCTGGCCACGGTGGATCTGCAGAAAAGGCCCACACATTTCTTTGACTCCTGGGCCCTCCTGATGCAGGCAGGAGAGCAGGAATGGCTGGAATACAAAGAACCCTTAGCCTATGTCATTCCTCTATCTGCAGGCTGGAGATTAGAGGCAGGGTGGCCAGGTTAGAGTCAAAGCTAGTCAGGAGGCCACCAGGGGCTGCCCCATAGTCCAGAGGAGCAAGCTCATGGGTCAAATTCCAACTCTCTGTACTTAGGTCTTCACAGCTAACCACACCCAGGAGTGACCATTCTTCAGCCAGCTGACTCCATTGCATACTTGGGGTACCTGCTGGTGCTGGGGTCATCCCTTGAGACTCCTGTTTCAAATAACCTTTGGCAAGAGCTGGTGGAGGCCAAGCTAACTCGGCCTGCAGGCACACCCCGAGTTTAGGGTCAAAGCCATCTGTCAAGAGAATCTCTTTGTCCAAGGGTCCTGCTGGGTTTGCTGAATCTTCCTTCCATCTGGTCTGTTTCTGGTAGCCCTGGGATGTCACTGTGACTTGGTCTTTCTCCTCAGGGATTCCAGGTTCTAGAAGATGGACATGGCCCAAGGCAGGACCACTCTGTGTGTTCTCAGGCTGCCCTGGAGAGCTCTGGACTGAGTTAATGTCACTGTCATCCTGGCCCTGACTGGTGTATCCAAACTGCTGCTTCCAGGTCTGCCCCGTGCTGGAGTGTAAGCTGGGTTCCTGCAGGCAGATCCCACTGTCTGTGTTGTCACCACAGCTGTCCTGTAGCTCAGGAGGCTCTCTCTTTCTCAGAGACCCTTGATTCTGGGGGTGGGAGCCAAGCAGGAGAAATTGGGACTCTTCAGTCTGCAGTGATGACTTGGCACTGCCCAAGCCACTGTCCATGCTGCCATGCAGGTCTGAGTCTCTCAGCTCTGGTGATACCTTCTGGAAGGCCTCCAAGTCCAAGGTGTGAACAGCATGGAGAGTTTCTGGACAGACAGGGTTGATGAGGAAGAAGTTGTGGGGCTTCTCAAAGACCTGGGAGGAGAGGCAGGGTGAGTGTGATGATTGCCATGGTCAGTGTGACTGTACTGAGAACCACCATGTGGTTCCATAAAGTCTGTCTGTAAGGGTGTTTTGCCAAAGGTTAAACTGAACTTGGAAGACTTACCCTGAATATGACACTATCCCGGGGGCTGGAGTCCTGGGATGAATAAAGACGAGAACGTGAGCGTTCACCTCTCTGTTTCCTGACTGTAGGGACTCGACCAGCTGCCTCACGCTCTTTCCCTCCACCCTCAAACCATGAGCCAAAACAAACTCTTCCTTCCTCAAGTTGCTTTTGCCAGGCACAGGCTTTTGTCACAGCAATGAGACTAATACAGTGAGAGAGGTGAGGCGCTGTGGGGGAGGTGTAGATTGGGTGCAGAGCCTGCTGCCCCCCAGCTTCATAATGTCATTAGAACTTTCTCCCAAGGGTACTTCATGGTACATGCCCAGGCAGGTACATAGGAAGCTAGTGTTCCCAGGGCCAGATTTCATGGGGCCTCGCTGAGACTGGAGAAAGCTCTCAGATGCTCCCCTCATGAATCTCTGTGACCTGGATGAGGCTTGAAAAGCCAGGCCCATACTGAAGTGTATTTCAAACTATTTTGACAATGACCCCAGGTAAGAAATAGATGCTAAGTAAGCACCTGTGTGTGTAGCTCATGGAAGTCACAGAAGCTAGTCACAGGGAGTAAATATCTATGTGCCATACCCACCCCACCCCATCCCATCCCACCCCATCTTTCTGTCCTGTCATCCTTTGAATTTTTGCAGCTTGCAGCCAAGGGTTTGTGCTCCTTAGTTGCTAAAGGTCTTGGGGGAAGTCACTTAGCGCTTGTCAGCTTGTTCTCTACTCTATCCATAGTGGTGTCCTTGCTGTCCTCAACATGGCAAGAGCAGCTGTCACAGGACCTTTGCACATGGCGACCACCACTCTGCTAGGAATACTCTTAGCACTCCATATGTCTGTCGCCTCCTCCTTGTTTAGCTCAGACACTGCCTCTTCTGAGAGACTTTGCAAGCAGCCAGGCCAAATCAGTGCAGCAGCCATATTCTCCTTGTTTCCTTCCTTATTTCTTCCTAAACTTCCTATATGTGCTGGCTGGTTTTATGTCAACTTGACACACAAACTACAGTTATCTGAAAGGAGGGAACTTTATTTTTTTATATTTATTTATTTATTTATTTTGGTTTTTCGAGACAGGGTTTCTCTGTGTAGCTTTGGAGCCTATCCTGGCACTCACTCTGGAGACCAGGCTGGCCTCGAATTCACAGAGATCCGCCTGCCTCTGCCTCCTGAGTGCTGGGATTAAAGGCATGTGCCACCAACGCCTGGCCAGGAGGGAACTTTAATAGAGAAAATGCCTCAACAAGATCAGGCTGCAAGATATTTTCTTCATTAGCTATTGATGGGGGAGGGCTCAGTCCATTGTGGGTGGTACCATCCCTGGGCCCTTGGTGGTCCTGGGTACTATAAGAAAGCCGGCTGAGCAAGCCGTGGGGAGTAATCCAGCAAACTGTGTTTCTCCATGGCCTCTGCATCAGTTCCTGCCTCCAGGATCCTGCTCTGTTTGAGTCCTGTCCTGACTTCCTTTGATGATGAACAGCAATATGTAAGAATAGGCCAAATGAACCTTTCCTTCCCAACTTGTTTTTTGGTCATGGCATTTTACTGCAGTGACAGAAACTCTAATTAAGACACTACAAAATGAACTCTAGAGACAGTAACCATCCAGTCTTATTCTTCACTCTAAGAGCCTAAGCTGAGCTGGAACTAGTCAGGTTTGTTGACTGACGTACCGACTGACTCTGCTACAACCCTGCCCTCAAATCCTTGACACTTCATGACTTCAGTGCAATTCCTCCTGGTTGTGTCCCTATTACTATGTCCACTATGACCAACTAGGCCCACAGTGTCCACAGTGATTAGTGGTGAAGGATGTATCTTTTAGCAGCTTGCCACTGAGCCGATATCCTTTTTCTAAGCTTTAGTTTCTCATCCATAGATGGAATTCATGGCAGTGTGTGCCTTCTCATGGTGAAGCATGTACAGTGCTTGGACCATTCAGGTTACATAGAAGATGCTCAACAAATATATGCTGAGTGGAACTGTATTCCTTGGCAATTCTATAGGAGTATCATTACCCCTATGTTCTAGAGAGACATAGCTCAGAGGCATTAGATGATATGCCTGGAGTCACCAGCAACAAAGTACTAAACTGGAGTTATACCCAGCTATCTGGATTTGAGATCCCCAGCTTGCTTAATAGAACTGACTTCAATGACCTGGTGGATGCTCAGTTCAAATCAGCAGATGGTTCAGAGTAAATTCAGGAATGTGCCAGGACTCTCTCACTCAAGTTACCCCCACGGACAGGAGCAACTGTTAAGTGGAACTGGGCTGTTTAAATCCTAGGAGAAAAGCTCTGAAGGGAACAGCAAAGCTGTGACTCACAGGTTCATAAGAAATCAACAAGCAGCTGCCTGTCATTTCTGGGGAGTTGGTAATCTCTAATCTCTTCCAATTTCATGGTTTTACAGTAAAGTTAGCCTTTCACACCTGGCTGGCAATGGCTGGCATCAAGTCCTGGGAACCCCTCGAGGCCACATTAGTCAGTTTCCTCCCTGGCAATACTTGTCATCAGGGTGGATGCTCTGTAGATAGCTCAAACACCATTTCACTCATTCCTGAGCCTCTCCAGGCACAGGGTTATCCTCTCCCACATCCTGAATCACACTTTCCCCAGCGCCAGGCTCAGTACTATGGTTTATTCATCCCTGGGCCACCAGCACCCAGACTCCTGGCCCTGCACAGAGTATGAGCTAAAGTGCCGGTGGAACAGGCTGAGGGATATGTATCTGGGGAACTGAATTTCCCAGGAGCACAGAGCAAGATGATGAGCACAAACTTCAGCTATACAGGAAGAACTAGTAAATACTTGAGAGCTGTAAGGGCTGGCTCCCCCATCTCTTCCTTATACTTCTTTACCAGTTGTCACTGACCTGAGAACAGACTCTCGTCTAGACAAAGACTCTGATTAGGTCACGCCATCCCATCCTTACACACACATACATTTCTCTCCTCTCCTCTCCTCTCCTCTCCTCTCCTCTCCTCTCCTCTCCTCTCCTCTCCTCTCCTCTCCTCTCCTCTCCTCTCCTCTCCTCTCCTCTCCTCTCCTCTCCCCTCTCCTCTCTCTGTGTGTATATGTGTGTTTGTGTGTGTCTCCTTATCATTCCTAGCTACTCCAGGACTCCTCTATAGGTTATATATGGTCTGCACCCATCTATCATGCCTTAATAGTGTTTATATTCTGTGTGTATGTGTGTGTTTGTGTGTGTCTCCTTATCATTCCTACCTACTCCAGGACTCCTCTAAAGGTTATATATGGTCTGCACCCATCTATCATGCCTTAATAGTGTTTATATTATCCAAGGCCCAGGGACTGTGGCTAGACACTTCTGACACAGCCTGAGACCAGGCCAGGGACAAGTAGAGATCTGAGGACTACTACTCAATCTTGTGCGATGGCTTCTGGAGGCTGGCTTGCCACACATGCCTCCATCTGAGAGGGGAAAGAGGTCTTGGCTTCCCCTCAAGCCCTTTCCTCTCTGGGTCAGCTCTCTACTCTGCTCTCTCCCCGCTGGAACTACTCTAGTCCTGCTTTTTGTCCCTCAGCAGCACCAGGAAAGGTTGATGCAAAACCTCCCCTACAATTCCTCCCACCCATGTGACCCTATGAGGGCAAGTAACCTATCTGTCCTCACTGGTAAAATGAGGATAAAGCCAGGACCAGTTCATGATGCCCAGTGGCTGCTCCACAAGCCATCGTGTAGATGACAAAACTGTGCTGATTCAGTGTGTGTACACCTGCGTGTACATGCGGTCTCTGGGCTACTCAGAGGCACTGTTCTCCATACTGGGTTTAGTGTTTGCTTGCCCTCCACAGTGCTGAATGAGGGTACCCGGATCACACAGGAACATAGGAAGGACAGAGCACTCACCAGGACTGCCGGCAACTTCCTCGGGCGCCGAATGTAGTGCTGGAGAGCCAGGCAGATCAGGGCTCCGCAGAGTATCAGGATAGAAGTGAAGAGAATGCTGAGGTTGGTCAAGGTGAAATCTGCAGACCCAGAAAGATGTGTTTGTGGCATATAAGGTACAGTCCCCAGAGACCCCTTGGCTATGATTAGAACATACTCAGTGAATGGTCCTAGATCATCCCCATGGGCAATTGGTGGGTCACAGCCCTAGAGGTATCTAGGTTCCCAGAAATGATGGTTCAGTTGTCACCAGTCCCTTCAGTAACACATTGGCTCTGCCTCTAGCCAATTACCATGATGGCCAATGAAGCACCAAGGCAGGATGAAACAGTAGGCAAGAGTGCAGACTGGATTCAAAATACCAGCTGTACCTCTTACTAGCTGTGGACTGTGGACA